TAAATTTGAATGCAGAATTATATCTTCTTCTGAGAAAAATGGAAATAATGTACATGTAATTTCAGCAGGTTCAATAGTTCATGAGCTATTATGGGTTTTTATCCCATTGCCCACAAAACCTCCTTTTAATCTCCCCTTCACACAATGAATTGCATAGAGTTTTCTGGAAAAAAAATGTGCTGCACAAAAATGAGCCCTTAAGCATCAAGCTCTGGTGATTCCGAGATGTTGAGAGTCTGAGGACTCTAGAGGGCTTGGCTGGGGATCTGTCCAGAAGCTTTTGAACTCAAGAGCCCTGCCTACCCCAGAACTCATTGTACTCACTCTCATCACTGTCCCGTGGCCCTCTCTGGGGCAGTCTCTTGGCTCAAGATGATGGTGTTCGGGAGTGGGGGCACTGCCATCCTCCCCTCCCAGTGCTGTCTCTTGTGCACACAGGCTGTGTGGGTGCTGCCTTTAATGCTGTGTTCTCTAAACTCTGCAAGTTATGGTGTGGTTGTGCCAAGGAGAAGGCAGGGATTTGTCTTTGTTGTAAGTGTTGTGTGTATATTAAAAGGCTCTTGCAACAATCAGCACTTCATGGCAGAAACAACGGGACATAGTGCGTGCTCACTTAGTAAGAACACGAGGAGGGAAGATTTGGATAATCCCGACAAATATTCATATGCCTAAGATGCCTCTAGGAAGGGCTGGCAGGAATAGTTTAGATAAACACTGATGTCTGATGTTTGTGCTCCTCTCTTGGCAGATGTCTGCTCACTGATTTCGTTCAGAACTGAGGAAGGAAAAATTTGGGTGCTAGGGAGTGTGGCAGACACCCTCAGAAACGGTGTGTGTGGATTAAGTAGATGAAGAGCTGTATTGCAATGATTCTTGGGAGGAGGAGAACTGCCCCCGCCCCCCTGCCCCAAGATTCTAGTCACATCGCAGAATTAAAGGATAGATGGGCAAAAAGTAACATTTTTGAACCTGGAATTTGGTGACTTGTTGGGATATCATTTGCATCTTGATAATGTAAAAAGAAAAATTTAAAAGTAAGAATAAACCACCAGCAGGATTATGCCCTCATGGTGAGGCTGATGGAAAGCTTGTTAATGGCCCTGGTAGGAACTATATAGGTCCTTGCGTAATTTACAGGTGCCAGATGTACAGATACATACCCATTCCAAGTGAAGTAGAAGCTGAGAGTCTATAAGCGAGGATACATGGCCACATGGGGGTACAGTTTGGGAGGAGAAAGCTACCCTGTCCCAGGTGAGTACCAATGGAAGTAGGATAGCATTTATGGGCTTCTCAGTAATGGTGTGGAGCTGTACAAATCCTGACTCTTCAGTACAATGGGAGTCATGGCTGACATTGGGGGTTGTGACTTATAGCCAATGGATATACTATAAGTGGTATGTAGGTGGTACAAAGAGTTACATGTCTTGTGGGACAGTTGTTTGAAGAAGTTATGGGTTTGGAGGGGTCAGTACCCTCTGTTGGGGTTTCTCATTGGAGAGAAGGCAGCAATGCCTTGGGACCAGGGGTCTGTCCTTATGGGGGTCAGTGCCTGGATAGCCTAACAAGATGCTTGTCTCATCTTGATGGAGTCCTGGCCCTCAGCTAACAACCCAAGATGGGCGTTAGTGGGAAGATGGTGGTCCTAACTGCTGAATTCCTCCCTACACCTCCCAAATGGTTAGAAATTTACAAGAGGGATTTCGGCAGGGAAGCTATGGGGTTTACGTTCCTCATGGCCTCATTCATGACAAGCTTTAGATGTCAGACTCAGCTTCTTTGGCTGACCTGGCTCAAGCAGAGGAGGTGGCTGTCCAACCCCCTGCCCTTTGTCTTTGACTTCCTAACTTTGGTTGTTAGTCTTATCCTTATTCAGTCTCCCTCCTCTCAACCATCCCATCTAAAGTCTTAGGACCCTCCAACTTCAAGGCCAGACTTGCCTTCCCTCTGAGAAAAGCACATGAGTTAATGACAGTTAAAAGTACATACACTTTGTTTTCTTTTCTTTAAGACTTTTTTAAAATTTGAGTGTAGTTGATACACAATGTTACATTAGTTTCAAGTGATACACTTTCTTTTTGAGCCCTTATTATGCATCATGCTAAGAGCTTCATACGCGTACTTTTGTTCAATTCACAATAATCCTCATGAGGTACTGTTATGCCCATTTTACAGATGAGAAAACTGAAGCTCCCGAAGGTCAGTTTCCCTGCATGAGGTTATGCGGTTAAGAGTGCAGCCAGAGCCCCAATTGAGCTCTGTCCCCAGAGCCCCAGCTGAGCTAACCTGCCCTCTAAGTCCCACTGTAGAAGGGTGAGAATTTGGACGTCTTTGAGACCCACCAAAGGAACTTCTCCGTCACTACCCTGTTTCCCTTTGTCTGGCTGAAGCTGGCTGACCACAGTTAGCTGTGTCGTGGTGCTCTTCTGCTCATCTCTTGCCCTCCTCACTTCTGCACATGCTTACTTGCCTTTGCCTGAGGCCAGCCACTTTCCCAGGTGAGGGTAAATGGGCTTACCTTTGTTCTGGCCTTTCCCTCACCTTGACCATCAGATCTAGTCAAGCTGCTGGGAAGCTGCTTGGTAAACTCATGCCCTTTCTTTTGATGTCAGGTCTTGTGACCTTTTGATTGTCCCTAATTTTTCTGCCTAGTTTCAAATGCTGCAGAAAATGGCATTGATATTATGACCCTGGGCCAAGCTGGAAGTGTGGAAACCAGAGTCCTGAATTATATTTTCCTCCTAGAAATGTCAGACTGTTTTGTGGTTAAAAGCACAGTCTCTCAGTTGGACAACCTAGGTTTGAATCCAGCTCTATCACTGTATAATAACCGCAATGGGTTTGGGGTCCCACCAGGTCCACTGTGAGACAGTAGAGCTAAAACTCTATTGGTCATCTGACCTGCATAAGCCCTACTCTTGTGGATCTCAGTGATGTTTTGGATCTCCTAGAATTAGTGTTGGTTTAGAGCCTATGTCCAGTGATCCTGGAAATGTCTGATTTTTTTCCTTTTCCTCAAGCAGTCTCTCTGGGAAAGGGCCATAGGTACCTATGGGGAAGGCTGTGAAAAAGATGAACATTATACAATTTTTGGCAATATACCAAGATCCTTCCTCAAGGGGACCAAATCTCTCTGGGTCTGTAAGCTGGCTCAAGTCTGGGAGCTGACTGAGGGGTAATGACTGCTTTTAGAATTCAAGTTAGACTTTTGTTCACTTGACCTAGAACTCTTCTCATTCAGATCAGTAAGAATTCAGTAGGCTGCCCATCTATTCACTTCTAGGAGCACTATACCATGCCTGACTTCCCAATGCCATTCTTCTCTGCGTGTCATACTGTCTTGATTTCTGCTTTACTGTACTGTCCATGGTAACCATGCCCACTTTGCCTTTGGCCATTGAGTGCTGCCACTTGGCTTCTGACGTCTGGAATCCAGTGACCTCAATGCATGTCAGTGGGAACAGTTCTCACTATTGTGTGCCTTGGGCATGTTGCTCACCCTCTTTATACCTTGGTCTCCACCTCTGCACAGTGGGGATAATGACAGGGTTGTTGTGAGGTTTAGATGAATTAATATGTGACAAGATGAATTAATAAGAGGGTCACAAAGCCCACCTGTGGTTATTAGAACTATTTGTGCCAGTGGGGAGAGAAGGGATGGAGGAGAGACAAAAGGGCCAGAGCAAGAGGGGGAAGGTGGAGAATGCAGAGAACCCTGGGCGGGAGAAGATCCCTACTTATGCAACAAATACTTCTTGGGCACCTACTATGGGCCACCCACTTTGACAGCTTTTCAGCATAAAAGCATGAACAAGGCAGAGGAAGTGATGCCTGAAGGAGCTTAGTGGGGGAAAAACTGAACAAGCAATTGCAGCATGGTCTCAGTGCTTGGTTGAGGAAGCTCAGGGAACGTAGGAGACTGACGTTCACTCAGCCTTCCTGGACACAGTGTTAACACTTGTATGTCCAGAAAGTACCTCCTAGTTCAACTAACACAGCTGAGGACGGAGTCCCACAACGACATTAAGGGCATGTTGGGGGCACACTTAGGTTTATCAATCCATCATTGCAAAATATTTCTCAAAGTCTCCTCCCTTTGTCCATCAGCACTGCTGATGTGCTGAGTCCCTGCAGTGTTCCTCTACCTGGTCTGGCCTTGCATGCCTGGTCCCTGGCAACCTCTCCATCCACTACACCTCTCTTCCCTCACCCACCCTGTTGCAGCCCCACTGGCTTCTTGCTGCCTTCATCCCAGCCTCTGGACTTTTGCACATGCTATTCCCTTTGCTGGAACAGCCTTTACCTGGGAGAACTATTCATCTTGTACATCTCCATTCAGTGTTCATTTCCTCTGCCCCTTTCCCAGCACCAGACCTGCTGAGGCTCTTTTTGTTTTAGGTTCCCTTGTTCCCAGCAGTCCTCTGTTGCAGTCCTTCACCCGTTGACAATGTCAATTAACACTTTCCCCACCAGGCACCGGGCTCCACCTGGTCGGAGACAATGCCTTCCATGGTCACTCTTATAATTCCCTCTCACACGCAGTGCCTGGCCCATAGTGATGCTCAATAAACATCCTTGATAGGTAAGCACAGCTTTGCAAGGTGGTGTCTCTACATTAAACCCATCACTCTCTTGATCTGTTCAGAGCAGCCTGTTTTCCAGCCACCTCTAAATCATTCAAGATGCAGAATAGTATCAAAGACCAGGGTGTCTGTCCTCGCAGGGGATTCGAGAAGTGGATGTCTGTCTGTCCCTTCTCTCCTCCCTTCCTTGGTCAGGGAGACCATGGGGGTGCGATTTGGGGGCAGGGCTTTGCCAGAGCGGGCCTGGCCCCCGGCAGGTGAGAGGAGCGCAGGCCTCTTCCACGCGTGCCTGCGTTTTGCGTGAGCAGCCAGAAGGGGGCGGCAGAGAGACAGGAGTGGTCCACGGAGGAGCCCAGCTCCGAGCCGAGCCGCGCGAACCCACCGAGCCCGCGCTCAGAAGCCCGATCTCCCACCGACAGGCCGCTGGGTTCGGAAGGCTGCTGGGTCCTTTCTCTTCCCCAAGTGCAGGCAGAGCCCCCTGGAGCCATGGCCAGCCCTTCTGGCAGCCCCGAAGACTCGGGCAAGCTCAGAGGCAGGGATGGCTGGCAGAGGCGGGAGGAGGAGGATGCCCCTCCGGAGGAGAAGAGATTGAAGCTGGGGCTGGAGGGAGGAAGCGCAGCGCAGGAGGAAGGAGAAGACGCGCCACGTCTGGGCAGGGAAGAGACCGGCACCCAGACAGGTGGCGAAGGCAGAGGTGTAAGTGAGCGGGGGCTCAGGAGGGACGGGGGCTAGAGGTGGGGTGGGGTGGGCGGGGATGCTCCCCGTCGGCAGTCAGGTCCAAGTTGATAATTGGGCAGCAACTCCTGCAGGCAGGCGCGGTGTGACAGCTCGTGGGGACCTCCAGAGAAACTAGATGCTTGGTTGTTGGTCGCAACCCCCTTCTTGTTTTTGTAGCATCGACTTGCTGATTCTCCCACGCCGTCGTTGTATCTGGCTGGGAGACCCATGGGTTCTGCGGTTGGCCAAAGAGGGGAAGAGGAAGCCCTGTGTCCTGGGGGCCCCCTGAAGGGGAAGGAGGTGAAGGGAAGGAGGGCTCTGAGCAGCCCTCACCCTACACCTCCCTCCTAGACAGTGCTGTTTTAGGTGTCTTTTTGGGACTTGACTCCGGTGTGTGTTTCCCTCACCTGGTAAGGGGTTTGGGTGGGAAATGCCTCAGCATAGGTTCTGCCAGACCCTGTTCTGTCAGCATGTGGGCTGGCAGCAGCTCGCCCTGCCCCTCACCTGCCCTGTATCTTCCTGTCATTGTTCCCCATTCTGGTTGGGCAGTGAGAGTTGAGAGAGAAAGCAGGTGGCTTCCACCCCCAAGTCACTCTTCTCTCCTTATCCTTTCAGAGAGAGACAGTGAGGCAAAGTTCTGTGCATTCTCTCGGGTGCTACCTGGCTGTGGTCCCTGCTGCCTGAGGGTATGCGTGAGGGTGTTTTGTTGCATACGTGCATGGTTACGTGAGTCACTAGGCATGTGTGTGATGGAGGTCAGTGCCCCGCTTGACCCCTTGGTTCCCGCTTTCTGCTTCTTCTCTTGAATCTTCCAATTGTGACCTGGTTGACCTTACATTTGGGGAGCACATGAGTCTGGAGGACAGATGAGGGTTGGCTGGATAGCTGTCCCCATGGCAAGGGCTGCTACTTTGAGAGTTTTTAATGGATAACGGGGTTGACCTTTTTGTTTCTTACAAACGTTTTTATTCTTGACCATTTGCTTGGCTGAGCTTGTCTTAAAAATTTGATTAGTGGCTAGTGAGCCCTGTGAGAGAGTTCCCCTTCTTCCCAAATCCACATAGGCAGCTGCTGCCTGCCTCCGTTCACCTGGCTGCATCAAAGCCCAGCCGACCCGGTGTGGGGCTGCTCCCAGGCACTGCTTCGGAGACCTTACCTCTCTATGATTGTGATTGTGTTCAGATTGTGGGCCACTTGGACACCAGAACCAGGTGAATTTCTGTCTCAGATGCCAGAAGAAGGATAATCCTTATGGAAGGCTTATTGGGACACATCCTATGGAAAGAGTGAGAGGGATGTGTCGCAGTGTGGTGAGAGGAGAGGCCCTGTCAGAAACATGATTACGGGGGCAGTGCAGTGCTGAAACTTTTACTCTTGGAAGCCCCTCTCTCTATCACTTCCCTCGTTACTTGGGACTTTGCCAAAGACCAGGACATGAGGGTGGGAGGAAGTGACCCAAGTGCAGTGGGATGCTTAGGAATGTGGGTTTGAATCCTGGCTCTGACCTTCCTTTGCTTGGTGACTCAGGGCGAGTCACTTAACCTCTCCGAGCCTTGGTGTCCTCACTGGCGAAATGGATATGTCAGCAGGCCTTGTTTCACGGGATTATTATCCCTGAGATTAAGTAAAGGTTATCCATAGAAAGCACTTAGCATTAAGCCTGACACATAGTATGTGCTCAGTAAATGTGGTTTAGTACTGAAATTCACTCCATGCAGCTTGCTTGCTGTCATCTTTAGTTCTGGGGGTGCATCACAGGAGATGAGGGTCTTAGGCCAGAATCTCCACATTAAGTGCTTTCTGAAGGTTAAGAAATTATGTGCAGGTGATGAAACTTTTAAAAGGCAGAAACCGTATTGAACTTTTTGTTTCACAAAGAGAAATGGGGATGCCATGTTTAAAGGATTATGTCATAACTGGACAGAAACTGTCCTTGTTTCCTGAGCCTGAATCCAATTTTCTCCTTTTGGGGCACCTGGATCTTCTGGAGGAAGTCACCCTTCACAGTGGTGGCGTCTTGGTTTTCAAGTTTAAAGGTTGGCCAAGCCCGTGCTTCCCAGAATGCCTGTCAGACAGATTTCTCCTCCCTTGTAGTTTCTACAGGAATATTCTCTTTAAAGAGCCCAGGAAGCAGTTTCGGGCTGGTGCCAGAGCAGCAGCTATTTTTTTGAGGAGGAGAGCCCATTTCTTCACTCACAGACCATGTCCAAATGGAGAAAGAAGGACAGAATGCTTTTTCATGAGATTTTTGTCTGTGTAGACCATTAGCTTGGCTAAAATGTCAAAAACATCCTTGTTCTTTAATAGCAGCTTATTTTTAGGTGCAGATCATTTTGGGCTTTTCTCTGCAGAAGCTGCATGGATATCACCTCCCTGTCCATGTTGTATCTAGATGTTTCTAAAGAATAAAATACCTTCCCTTCACTGGGTCCGGAGCTTTGGATGGCTGAGGTTTACATGTGACCGGTTATCCTTCAAAGTGGCTCCCAGGCTTGGCTCTTGCCTTTAAGGTAGGGGGGTTTCTTTCCTCTGGTGGTTGCTACGGAGTGCTTTGAGGAGATAAAATGGGGCCTCAGGAGCCATCTCAGTGCAGAGCTCTGCTGGAGGTGTGCCAGGAGGAGGGTGTGTGCCTAGTGAGGGCTGATCCCCCACCAGGGATCAGAAGTTTCACAGACTCCTTTTGCCCCCTCAGGACCAGTGCTGCTGAGAAGGTATCAAAGAACCAATCCTCCCAGAGCCTTTATTGACTCCTTTAAAGTGACCCCAGGGTGAGTCTGGCCTGCAGCTCTTCCTGGGGGTAGAGAAGGGTCTCTTCTAGGTAATTGGTTATCAACCTTAGTTGTCTGTTCAGCTTTTCTCAAGATCTGGAAACTTGGCATAGACTTCTGGGTTGTGCTGGGCAGAGCTGAAATCCCCTGTTGGAATCCCCATTCAAGAGTCCCCAGGATTGAGACCAGAGTGGGGAGGTTATCATCTGTAGGGGTCACCCTACAGAGGAGAGTCCAGACTGCCGGTCTCTCCCAGCTCACTGGTGATAGTCTACACCTGAGTATCTCAACTTTGGCACTAGTGACATTTGAGGCCAGATCATTTTGTGTTGTGGGGAGCTGTCCTTAGCAGCATCCCTGGCCTGTAGCCACTGGATGGCATTAACACTGCCTCTCCATTACTAGTGTGACAACCAAACATGTCCCCAGATATTGCCAAATGTCTAGGGCTTGGAGAGGAGGCAGATGAAATACCTTGTCTGAAAGCCACGGGTCTACACTTGTAAAACTGTTTCAGAGAGTAGGGGTTAAGTTTGGGTCCTTGCTGTACCACTTATGAGCTATGTGGCCATGGGAAATTTATTCAATTTTTATGGGCCTCAGTTTCCTCATCTATAAAATGGAGAGAGTGAGATAGAACCTCAATGGGTTGTTATGTTGGCATTCAATACAATTACAAGATAACAAACAGAAATGGTTTAGGAGAGCACAAAACAAATGGTCAATTCCATTTTTACTTATTTAGGTGAGTCAGACTCTGTCTCCCATCCCCTTATCCATTTGGTGAGGTGTGAGGGAGGAACATCATCCACCAAAACCTCAGATTGGATTTGTGTAGCATCTCAGCTTTCCACATGGAATTCACCAGTTTCTCTCCAATTTCCTCCTTGGTTTTCTGGGTCCAGGATTCCAGGAGGCAGGGGTGTGGGCAGTCAGAGCGGGTGGCACTCAGTTCACTCCCACACGGGAGAATTCCAAAGCTGGCTTGCTACGACAGGGCTTTTGGACCAACATCTGGGTTTCTGGATTCCCATTTGAGCACAGCTGGACTCCACAGGGCTGACGCTTTCTCTGCTGAAATATAGATATTTCCCTGGCAACAATCTCTCAAGCTGACATGAAGACATGGCCACCCACCGGAACACGGTGCTGCATGGGCTCTCCTATAATTTGTGAGGCAAGCTTCTGAGGACTGCAGTGTGGAAGTGAGAAATTGTAGGAGGTTCCCTCATTCTCCACGGGCCAAAAGTGGGGTGCAGGTTGGTGGTGGAGGGTCCTCCAAGGAGGAAAAAGGCATGGAGGGCATTCCTTTTTGTTGGAACAGAGAGGTACAGGCCACACACTGGATGGCTCAGATTCTTCTGGGGAGGCAGGTGCCTCTGTGCCTGCATTCGTTTTGGATTGTGAGCTGTGTAGCCCTTAGCTATAATCATTTCAGAAACATTTAACCCCAGTGCTGGCAAACCAGGGCTTGGTTTGGACTTCTCAGCTAGAGAGATGCAGACTGCTGGGCGATATTCTCCTGATTCTTTTCATTTTGGTGAGATGTTTGTTGTCTTTTTCTGTTCTCTGGAACATGATTTGGAGCTGGAGGAGCAGGAGAGAGACCAGTTTGGGCGCTGAGACAAGGGTCTATGTCAGGGATGTGGTGGCTGTGATGGTGGTGATGGTAGTGAGTGGAGTTGCGTGCCTGAACAGAGGAAAGCTTATGAGATACATTAAAGACTTAAGCATGTATTTAGTATGGCAATGAGAAAGAGTCAGGGTCAGACTGACTTCCAGAATGGCAGGGAAGACTATAAATTTGGTTTTGTACTTTGGCTAAGGTTGCTCTCAGACCCAGGTGACAATGTCTAACAGGATAGACAGGTCTGGGGCTGGACATTCAGACTTGAGAGTCATCAGTGTAGATAGTACTTGAGGCTGGGGGACACCTGAGGTTGACTGGGGAGAGAGTGGAGAGGCAAGAGGAGGGGATTTGGTATAAGCATGAGGAAATCTTAATGATGAGGAGAAGAATCCATGAGAGGCATCAGAGGAGCAGCAGGCAGAGGATATGTGGCTCCACAGACACGAGGAAAGGGTGAGGGTTGGTTGTGTTAAAGAGAGCCTGTTGGATTTCATATATCATGCTCATGAGGTCTTAAGGGAATTTAAATGGAGGCTGGTTGTGTGTGTGTGTGTGTGGGGGGGTGTACCAGGATTTACCCT